TATATATATATATATATATGAGGAGGGTTCAATGTACATGCTTATACGTGATGCTAAACCATTTTAACATTCTTGCTTACCACCTATATTCCAGTTTTATTTGTTTATTTATTAGCAGCTTTATAATATGGTTATTATTTCTATATGAATAAGAATTAGAATTAAATTGCAATAATGCACTTTGATGACTATAATCCTTAATAATATATTCTCTGACTATAATTTTTATAGTTGATAATGGTGCAACCCACTGATCTTTGACATTAAAGTATTTATTTTTTTAAAAAAAATTCAGCTTAAATTTGTAAGAATTTGGTAAGTTTTTTTGGGTAAGGATAAATTTCGAATTATTAATGAGTTGAATAAGATATGATAATTGAATAAGTTTATCCTTATTAAATATTACTTTCGTTCTTATATATAAGATCTAATTTTTTAATTCACCACTATTAAAAAAATAGTTAATTTAGTTGATAATAATAAATTTGTCTTATTTATATGTTTTTTTTAAATTACTTATATATTCTTCTCTTTCCTAAGAGCATCTACAATGGGAGTTGCTTATAAGCAACTCCCAACCATTTTAAATAGGTCCCACTGTGCCACGTCACTTTTAAGCAACTCATACTATATTTTTACAATTTTTACTCCAATAGAAGTTTCTTATAAGCACCCCTACTTTTTTACAACTCATACTACACTTTTTGACACTTCACATTATACTTTATTATAAATTTTTTAAAAATTAATTATTATGAATAATATATATATATAAATAACAAATAAAAAATTATATAATAAAAAAATTATAATAATAAAAAGAAATAGCTTAGTATATCCTAGAATAAAAAATTAAAAAACTATTTTATTTGAGAAAATATTTTTTATTTTTATCTTTAAAAATATTTTTTATTTTTATCTTTAAAAATAATTTTTATTTTTAAATTTTTAGATTTAGAAAACTAGTTTAGTTTGAGTTCTTGTTTTCTATTTAGAAAATAAAAATACTGAAAATGTGTTTGATTTAATTATTTTTTAATAAAATTTTATGAAATGTATTTTTTTATTATAAAATATAAAAAATAAAAATAGAAAATAAAATGTAAAAAATAAAAACAGAAAATAAGATATAAAAATAAAAAATAAACGTCTCTCGTTCCCTCTTTCTCTTTCAGCTCTCTTTTTTCTCTCTCAATCTCTCTCTCGTCTCTCATTCTCTCTTGTGGTTGGTGGCTGGTGGCTGGTGGGTGTTGGCCGTGGCTGGTGGCTGGGGGCTGATCGGGGGAACGCACGCGCGACTGAGGGGTTCGGTTGGGGGTTTCCGCGCGCGCGGCTGGGGTTTCTGGTCGGGGGTTGCGCGGCTGAGGGGTCTGGTCGGGGTTTCGCGCACGCTGTTGGGAGGTCCGGTCGGTCAGGGGGTTCCGTGCGCCGCTAAGGGGTCCAGTCGGAGGTTTTGCTCGCGGCTGACGGGGTCGGTCAGGGGTTGCGCGCACAACTGAGGGGGTTCGGTGGGGGGTTTCCGCACGGCAGAGGGGTTCCGGTCTGGGGGTTTCGCGCGGCGGAGTTTTCCAGACATGCATGCACTCTGAGAACATGGCCAACGGAGGGAGTCGACCAAGAACAATAACAGGTGAGGGAGGTTTTATCAGTTTTTTTTTTTTGCAAAACCGTTCCAGCGTGGATGACCCTCATCCAATCAAATCTCTTCATTTTCAATTTGTCAGGGATAAGAACCGTTGCTTCTGCAAGCAACAAAGAGAAAAATTTAAGAACGAACGCTGCCACGTAGATTTACTCCAACGGGGATTTCTTGTAAGCACCGTTGCTTACAACTAAGACACGGAACAAGCACCTCCCGCTGGAGGTGCTCTAACATTAAGTTTGGGAAAGGGAAAATTGATGAGAAAGGAATGAAAGAGTGAAGAAGTAAGGGAAAGTTAAAATATTGAGTATGTTTCAAAAGAGAGAAGAGTAAGAAATTGTGTTAAAATGAGTGAAATCCATGTGAGAAAGCTTCCCATCTAAAATGAGGAGAAATTTACTTTTTATAAAAACAAAAGGAGGGAGGAGTTGTAATTTATATATGTGTATTTATAAATTGTGTTAAAATATTGAGTATGTTTCAAAAGAGGGAGGAGTAAGAAATTGTGTTAAAATGAGTGAAATCCATGTGAGAAAGCTTCCCATCTAAAATGAGGAGAAGTTTACTTTTTATAAAAACAAAAGGAGGGAGGAGTTGTAATTGTGTTAAAGTTAAAATATTGAGTATGTTTCAAAAGAGGGGGGAGTAAGAAATTGTGTTAAAATGAGTGAAATACATGTGAGAAAGCTTCCCATCTAAAATGAGGAGAAATTTACTTTTTATAAAAACAAAAGGAGGGAGGAGTTGTAATTTATATATATGTATATATATATATATATAGAGAGAGAGAGAGAGAGGAAGAGGAAGAGAGGGAGAGAGATGTGAAATTCACTTACTCCGATAGTAAATATACTTAGACTTACTTTACTTAATAATTCATATTCTACATAAAATTTTAATAATTCAACTATTGAATTTAAAATTCTTAATGCATAGATTAAGTTTATAATTTTTTTTAAAAAATTGAAAACTATTTGATACTTCATTTCATTTATTCAAATTAATAGATAATCATAAAAATATTTTTAATTTGATATAGAACATGAGTTATTGAATTAAGTGGAGTAAGTGGAGTAAGTGGATCCCTCCTTTGTGTATGTGTGTGTGTATTTGTGTATGTGTGTGTTTATTATAATGAAAATAATTATATACTTTCAAATAAATAAATATATATATATATAAATTAAAATCTTAATAATAATAATAAATATTATAATAATAATAACAAAAATAATTTGTATTTATAATTTTGAATAAAATTATTTACAAAAATTTAAACTTCTAATATTACAATAAATTCAATAATAATAAAATAATTTTATTTATTATTTTAAAAAAATTATTAATAAAAATAAATCTTTACCATATTTCTCATCTATTTTCCCTTTACCAAACAACCTTAATTTTTACTCTATTTCTTACCTATCGCCTAAGATTTTTTGCACTTTTCTTCTTTTTTTCCCCACCATTTCTTTCCTCTTTACGAAATAAAAGCTAAATGATACTCATATATATTCTAACCAATTAGAGTATATGAATTATATTATTTCTCTCTCCATATTTTTCCTAATCAATTAGAGTATTTAAAGAGTTTATAATTAGTGCACTTTATTAAATTAAGAAAACACACTAATGAGATATGTTGCAAACATATGAGATCCTAACTGATTTGATCACGTTACATTTAGCATAGCAGATTATGCGCTGATTTGTTCAACTCAATCACAGGCTATCTAGTCATTTAAGTAGGAGCCAATTTTAGGAAATCTGTTAGAGATTCTTGCTACTGTAATTACGCTGTAATTTTGCTGTAATTAGGTTACTCTTATGCGTATATATATATGTATGCAAACTCTTTCAAGAGGTGGGGATTATTCCTGCGGCTGCCAAGCTTATTATGGTATTAGAGCCAAATATCTGATATGCAGAAAAATAAACACATTATGGCAGAAATACGAGAAGAAACTAAGGAGCAAGGGAAACCTCTTCGCTCCCCATATGACCTCAATTCAAATGACGGCCCTGGGAATGTTATCACCCAAGTGCAACTTCGTGGTGAGAACTACGATGAATGGGCTCGAGCCATGCGGACCTCCCTACGTGCTAGACGCAAGTGGGGATTTATTGATGGTGCTATCAAACAACCAAAGGAAGGAACAATAGAAATGGAGGATTGGTGGACAGTCCAGTCCAGTCCACGTTGGTGTCATGGATTTTGAACACCATAGAGCCCAATTTGCGCTCCACAATCTCTTATATGGAGAATGCACGAGATCTATCGGAATACATTAGAGAAAGGTTCTCCATCACCAATGGACCGTGGATACACCAACTGAAGTCAGAGTTGGCTGATTGCAAGCAAGGAGGATCGACAGTAGTTGCATACTATGGTAGATTGAAGACACTGTGGGATGAATTGGCAAACCATGAGCAAATACCCAGATGCGGATGTAGAGGCTGCACTTGTGATGTTGCGTCTAAGTTAGAAAGGCGCATAGAAGAAGAGAAGGTGCATCAGTTTCTCATGGGCTTAGATGATGCCACGTATGGTATTGTCCGCTCCAACCTGTTGGCTTGCGATCCTTTGCCCTCGTTGAACAGGGTGTATTCGGCAATGGTGCAAGAAGAACACGTTAGAACAATCACTAGAATGAAGGATGAAAGAACTAAAGTTGTGGGTCTCACAGCACAAGTTAAAGGAAAAGGTCGAGCAGATGCAAAAGATAAGTCACAGATCTGCACTTATTGTAATAAACAAGGACATGACACAGAAAGTTGTTTCCAGTTGATAGGATATCCTGACTGGTGGGGAGACAGACCAAAAAATGAAGGGAAAGCCATAGGAAGAGGGAAGTCACAACCACGTGTGGGTGGAGGACGCGGGAAAGGAATAACCTTGCGAGCAAATGCAGCACAAGCAGGTATGAGTGGCATAGGTTCTGCACCCATCAAAGATGCTGACAAAGCTGGTCTTGCTGGATTAACTGCTGATCAATGGCAAAAGCTGGTGGACTTGCTGAATAAAACTGATAGTGATGAAAAGATGACAGGTAAATATAGCCTAGCCTCATGGATCATTGATACCGGGGCCTCAAATCATATGACAGGGAATCTTAAGGAAATGAGTGAAGTACACAATATTACAGCATGCCCAGTAGGATTGCCAAATGGAGAGCAAAAAAATGCCACTGAGGAAGGAACAATCATCCTGGAAGGGGGGCTAAAGCTCAAAAATGTGCTTTATGTGTCCAAGCTGC